CTACTAACTAGTATTAGTATCATACTCATATTAATGTGAATATGAATGAGATTACTGTATTAGCCTTTGTACTATAAGTGATGGTGGTGGTGGTAGTAGTAGTAGTGGTGGTAGTAGTAGTAGTAGTAGTGGCAGTCGGCATGCATCACATTCGTTTACTGCACATTTCATAAATGCTTCGTTTGCTTCACAGTCTTCTGAAACAGCTAAAACGGTTGATCCAGTCTTCTGAAACAGCGAAAACGGTGGATCTTTGAGGGGGGGTAGCACATATACATATATATATATATATTATATATATATGTGTGTGTGTCCATGTGCATGTCAGGCTGATACCTGGCATCTGACACTAGCGATACTAGTAGCACTAGTCGTGCAAATGCTTGCAATAGCCGACTTAAAGGACTAGAGTCGACAACAAAAGCACGGACATTTTGCAAAGCAGCCGCACGTTGAGGGCTTGCTCAAGCGGCAAGCCCCTGATGCATAAGCAGACAAGCGGCGTCACAGTGAGCGGGCTGTCCAGACGTTGATACTTGGCTCTGGATCTGGACCGAAGACCTGGGAGCTGGGATTAGGGGTACCCTTGGGGATATAGGCCCTCTCAATAAGGTCCCTTTTAAGAGAGCCAAATTTCAAAAGTAGGGTTCAGAAGGGGTACCCTTTAAGGGGTACCCCTAATAATACTACCTAAGACCTGCATGGCTCTGGTCTCGCATGGCAGACGGAACGACATCTTCTGGGTTCTTGTTAAGGGATTTAATTTAAGTTACCATAATAAGGAAACCATATTATTTACTATAGATCCCTATCATGGTAACTTAAATTAAATCCCTTAACAAGAACCCAGTCTTTTGCCAAGGTGCGAGGGGTGCAGGAGCGTTTCTCCTCAAGCACCGCGCAGACGTGGCAATGGGTAGATCGAAAGTCGACAGAAAAGGACGCAACAAGCAAAAGCTATATCGACTGCTTGCAACCCAGTCACTTTCACGCACCTTGCATTGCGTGGGATTCGGCGCTGAAACAGTTTAGGTATACTGTAGCCGACGCATGATTTACGCACGAGAAAGGCAGATTCGCGCACTAGCAAGCACCGGTTCTGGCCGCGCACATCGCACCCCGATTCGCTTACGGACGTCGCGCTCCAGTCTATTTCGTGCGCCGCAGATTCGCGCACCAGCCCGAGTCAAGCACCGCCGGGTTCAATACACGAGGGAGAGTAGGATGGAGAGAGGAGGGAGAGAGGAGGGGGAGGAGGGGGCGAGGAGCGAGAAAGGAGCGACAGAGGAGGGAGAGAGGAGGGAGAGAGGAGGGAGGGAGGAGGGAGGGAGAAGGGAGAGAGGAGGAGGGAGGAGGGAGAGGGCAGGAAGACAGGTTTGACGATTATTGCTCATCGAAAAACAGGTTGACCGTTAGTGGGCATGGGAAGGACTCAAGTTCAGGCTTTAGATTTCGACCATGTGGCATCTAACAGTTAGCAGTCAAAAGCAGAAAAGTTCCACGGGAGAAATCCGGAGCCAGGGTGCAAATCATCGCCATGGCCACGACCTTGCCATCTCGGCACCGGGGCGATCCAGGGAATAAATCCTGCACACAGAGCACTCCCGCTGGCCGACTCTGCTGAGAATACTGAGAATAGTACAGGAAAGACAGGCATAGCTGCGACTACAGGTGATATCTATCTAAGAGATTGGCCGCACATCTTGGAGCTCAGGCCGTCTCCGCTCCTCTCACTGGCCCGGCGCCATGTAAGCTGCACATCAAACTAACTCTCCCGTTTCCTGAAGCCTCGAAGCCTACAACTTTGAGCTTGTCGCGGCCACAGCGGATAGAAGCCCACGATCGGCAAACCGAGAGAGGGTTGCATCCTAGAATCCCGGGCTCAACAAGTATCTGGAGTCGGGAGTCTCTCTTCATCTGCAGCTTCGGCGAGTTCGGCTTGGTGCAGAAGAGCGGTGCGAGCTTGATTTGAAGAACATGCCACATAAAAAAAAAAACCCAAGGACCAGTGCCTGTAGGCGACATCCTCTTTCACACCTCTTGGGCTATGTGCCTGGGACCCGCAGCAGGGACCGATCTCGTTAAAGGCTGGCGATGGCTTGAGATATTCACGGCTTCAGGCTTGCTCAGCTTATCCTTCCAGAAAAGGCAGTGGTCTGGGCTGTCTTCCATATCTGCGCTACAGAGGGAACAGCTAAACTTGTCAAGTTCTTACTCTGCACTAGATGTCGCCCACGGTCCGATTTGCTAGCGTCCAAGTGCCTGTGTCTTGAAGACTTCCACGGAAGACTCAATACGCCGATGGCATGCTTGGGTGATGGAAATCTAGGTCCCAGGCAGTTGAGTCCGCACAGACAGGACCCATGTCAACTGCACCTGAGAATCATGGTAGCGACGGGGACGATAAGCGCCTACATGAAAATCTGAAGAAGACATCACCGGGAGCGAACCTTTTTAGATATCCCTTTGGCCTTTCCCAAGCTTAGCCTGGTCCCCCTCTTTTCTTGTGGTGGAGAAGCCCAAGAGTTCCAAAGGGATATCGGAAAGTATTGGAATAACTCCGGTTTAGGGTTTAGGGTTTAGGGTTTAGGGATCATCCATACCTTCCTGACGTAGGAACCTGGCCAAGCAACCCTGGTCCTACACGGCAGTTGCAAGAAGCGAGCGTCGAACCTTTCCGAGGACCAGGTGGGGCACCAGAGAGTCTCCTATTCTGCACTTCTTGGGCTTAACGCGGCTGCGAGAGAGTTCATCATGAGCTCTCTGGCCAAGAAAGACACTTCAATAAAGTTTTGTAACTGTGTAAAGAAGCAGCTGCACTGCCAAGCTCTCACGGTACACAAGACAGTTTTCAGCCATCAATCCGAGGCCAAGCTGGCTTTAAGGTGCCTTTGCTGCCCTTTCGCCGGCGCAACTTTGGCGCTCCCATGGCGCCCCGGGGGCCCTCTGGGTGCGCAACTTTGGCGCAGGCGCTGGGCCCATCGCCCTGCGACATTCAGCTTCGATATCGACTAGCGTGGCGGCTGATGATCTTGGTCGTGGCGTGGTAAGGGCCGTGGCCCTTCAGGCTAAACCTCGGGGCCATGTCTGCTGTCCGGCGCATAGGCTTTCAATTGAAGGGATGGTGGAGCATCGTCATTTTGCTTCGTCTTACACACAGAGGAGCAAGTTTGCAGCAAGTCTTAGAAACCACGTAAAAGATCGGAACGTAGTGTTAGAGTGTGTCCTGCAGGATCCAGTGGCGGACCGCTTAGCCTCTCTGCCAAGTCGCTCGTAGGCTCGCTGAACCCACTCGCCAGCCTCCTCTGTGCATCCCATGGAGAGGCACGTGGTGTACGCCTGCATTCAGTTGCAGAGGTCAAAGACAGATCGACTGATTGATGCAGTCCTACTTTAGCCTTGCTTGTGGGGTAGACATAGCACTCCTGCACTTTAGCTCGGGATGCTCGGGGAATGCCGGTTGCTCGGGACGGGCGTCTGGTGGTGGTGGCGGCGGCGGCGGTGGTGGTGCGGGGCCGGGTCGTTGGTGGGGTGGGGTGGTGGGCGGCGGCGGCGGCGCTGGTGCCCACTCTCGCTCCGCTGATTGCACTGCAGTCTTCTACACGTTCGCATACGATGCGGCCTATCACGGCTTCCTCGCTGATGCTATGCTCACAAGGTTGCTGGAGGTATAGTCGGTGAGTGCATGGATCACGTCCCGTGAAAGTGATGCTGCTGATCAGTACAGACTTCTGCGTGGGGCTTGGGATGAATGGAAGCTACTCAGGCTTGACTCATGCTTTAGTGCTTGCCCGGATGCCTTGCCGACATGTTTGCGTTACTACAGGAGTGATCCCAGTAGCCCTCTGCAACGGGGCTGACGACGACATGATCATGAGATATGATGAGAGAGGGCACAACAATGCGGAACCCTTACTGCTTGTCAGCCGACTCTAGGCTAGCTCTTCTCGTTGACAACGTCGAGTCAGGGGCAAAGAAAGATATCTCTGTAACATGTCATGTCATTGCGCTGCAAACAGCGGCAGCAAACGCAGAGACCGATCATGGGAAGAAGGCCTGATCACATAACATCTACATCAGTCTACATCATGCTGCAAGTGTGGCAGCAGAGTCAACGTGAGTGGACACCCTGCCTGGTAGGCTGTTACCTCCCGGAAGCAGGAGATGTTCAGGCCCTGAGCGGAAACGACTTCTTTGAGTGCTTGGCTTTCTTTCTGTCCCTGGAGCCTCCGCGTCCGAGAGCTCAAAGCTTTCCCGAATTAGGCCAAGTGCCTGCACAGAGCGATCCCACAGGCAAAGTCAACTTCACGAAAACAAGGCACCTGCTCTCGTTAGCTTCATAGTCTAAAGCAACTGCTTTGGCAAGGTGCACGTGTCAAACTTAGGCATACAGCAAAACCCCTGCATGCCCTTCTCATGGAAGAGACAGAAGAGACAGGCAAGGCAGCTGGCCCGAATGCTAAACAGGTGCGAGTGATTCGACACCGAATATTGGTGCAGACAACCTTGTCAAGGTTCCATGCACGACAATGAGTAGAAATACTTTAGTTATAGTAAGGAACCCCCAAAACCCTATTGAAATTGCTGTTGGCAGACCCCAAGTGGGCCTTCCGGCTCCTTTCCTTCCAGTCAGACAGCCTAAAACATCCTGAAACCCGGGTCAGATGGCCAAGCTCCAAAGTTCCAGCATGTGGGTAGTTCTCTAAACTAGGGTCCCTTTTTGGGTCCCGAATATAGTACGGCACCCTTATAAAAAGCACCCTAAAAGGGACCCTCATTTTGAAAACTACCCATGTCCTCTCATTACGGCCTGCTCGGGATCCTCGCAGCTGGGTATCTCCTCGACCAGCTGCCAGAGACGTTCGCGGCGCCGGTCGCTGGCAGGATCTGCCGGGATCATCTTAGGTTTAGGGTTTAGGGTTTAGGGTTTCCGCCGACCTGTCGGCGTGTTTTGGTGGGTCTCGATTCGATGGGTTTGGAGCAAATCACGATTTTTGGGTTTTTTGCTGCCTTTTCTGGCGCCTCTTGGCCCCCTGACCCATTCTGGCCCCCTGGCCCCCCTGGCCCTGGCCCCCCCTTTCTTGCCCTGCCTGGATTCCTGGGCCCCCTCCCCCCTCCCCCCTTCCTCCTGCTAAATGCAGTCCACAACTTCTCAAACCCCTAGACCCTGAGTCCTGATCGCATGAAGACCTACACCCCAACCGCAAAACCAACCTCCTCTTAACCCAGACCTCCGAGCCCCCCAAACCC